TTTTTCCCCCCCCCCCCCCCCCCTTTTAAGCACTTAAAATTCACCTGCTGAGGGGAGTAGGCTTCTGATCCAGAGTCCGGGGGTGAGTCAGGTAAAGTGCTGCAGAGCAATGGGGAAAGAAAAGGGAAGGTCATTTTAAACCAGCTTCCAGCACAACCGAGCGGTCCAGTTTGATCAAAAACTGGTCGGGAATCCCAGCTTGCACCCGCAGCAGATCCCCGTCACCCCGAGCGTGTCCAGGAGGTGAGCTCGGGACCGCCATAGCTGTCACTGCTACCCCGCTCCCCACAGCGGTTCCCTGGACCCCAGGAGCAGGGACAGACGTTTTGTTGACCTGCCAACGAGACCTCCAGTTAAAAGAAGCCAAGCAGAAATTTATCCGTTCCCCAGAGAAAGACCGTGTGCTTCGCCACGGGTAAATGGGAGGCTCTGGGGGAGCTGGGCTGGGGCCTGGGATCCGATGCACAAAAGCCAAGGCTGGGAAGCCCACGGGATGGATTCTGCCTTGTGACCTGTACGAACCTGAGCACCACCACAGCTGCTGGCTGTATCACCCTGGCTCTACTCCAACATCACCAGGAGCAGGATTTGGCCCTGACTGCAAAATGCAACCAAATAAAAGGGGGAGCTCTCAGCTGCCTTCTCCAGCACACCCACGGCTCGGGGACGGCAGGACTGAGGACCAGCCCTGTCGTGTGCAGTGGCAGCACAGATGCACTGCAGGGAGCTGGTTAGCTCCTGCATCCTTCCTTATTTTACCTCGAGCCAGCACAGACTCCAGGCAGCTGGGCTCTTCAGCCGTTGCCAAAGCACCTCCTTGGAAATTCATTTGAACCAATTTTTCTTTTCGCAGCCCCTCCTCAACGCGCATCCCACTGCAGCAGAAGCTGGGGCCTCACACATCTTCAGGCCAGGGTAGAATCTCCACCACCCTGGTGCACAAGTAAAGGACTTGCCTGTCTCAGACACTGGTTCTTCTCTAGCAACATTCTGGAGATCAAGTGCACGGAAAAAGTCGAGGCCCTGCTCCCAGCTAGACTGAGCCACGGTCACTGCAAGCCAAAGCTGCAGCAGAGATGGGCAGGGAGACTGTGGCTCTGGTGGCTGGAGCAGTCGTTGCCCGTGCTCCAGAGAAAAGCTCACTTCACTTTCGTGTTTGCAGCATGCTTCGTCCTGTGGAGATCCTTGGCAGGGAGGTATCTTGTCTGCCCATTCATATCCGCTCCATCGCCAGTGACACACAGCCTCAGCAAGCCCCAGCACCTTGGCAAAGTCTGCTCCATCTAAGACAAACACGTCTGTTTTCCTCCCCGTCTCCTGACACCTCCTTCCTCACCACAAGTGGGTTTTCAGCGGGGATCCTTTCCCATTCCCCCATCGTGCACCCTCAGCTTTGCAGCTGCAAAATAATCCCAGGCAAACCAGTGCTCCTGGGATGAAAGCTGGCCAGAAAGCAAACGAGGCCCTTGGGGCTGTGGGGAGGAAAGGTGCCGTACACCGCGCACACGCCTCCCTGAAACTCTGCTCCTGACGGCACCCACAACTACAGCTGCAAACCGGGACACCCACCAGGACCTTCCTGCACCAGAGGAGCCCAAGACCCAGTAAACGGGTTCTCCATGGTAAGTGGTGCACAGCAGTAGCTGGAGAGGATGAGGCAGGGTAACGCCAACGAAGCACCCTCACCATACTTCCCTCATCCTCCACTTTCACCTGTAGCACCTTTCCACCACTCCCCTCCTACGCTTGGTCTGGAGCATCTATCACCAGCCTTACTTCCAGGCTCCTTGCCACGCTGGCCATGACTTCATACTATATTTCCTACAAATTTATCAGGATTTGTGCCTCAGCAAGCCAAATTTTGGCCAGTAACAAAAGGGCCCGGGACAGTTCAGGGAATCCTGGAGGCTGGAAAAGGCCTTGCAGCAGAAAGGTGGACACCGCAGAATTCACACAGGGAGGTAGTGTGGATGTGCCCAGTCCAAGGGAAGGGTTTGTTGGTATCCAACACGTGAGACATTGCTCCTCCGGGAAAAGCCTTGTACAACGGAGAAGAGTCATTCCGGGATGCTGAAGAAATGCTGCTATCAAAGCTGACCCAGTTCATCTACATCCAAACCAAGGTCTCCACTTCTAATAGCAAGCCATGATCCTTACTCACGTCCTCTCACATCCTGGAGAATGCCAGATGCACGCAGAAGAAAGGGACGTGATAAGGCATCACATCATGTTTTCGGGCATGGTCCCCCCTAAGCTGCACGTAGCCTTCTGGGTACACTGCAAGGGAGAACTCCCCGGTCTGGGAATAAAATAAGGGCAGATTTTGTTTAGCTTGTCTCCTTCTGGAAGATCTTTCCAAGTTCATCCAAAGGGCCAAAGCCATCCCAGTGGAGCTGCTTTATGGCCGAATCATTGGTTCAGTGTGCTGGAGGCTTCCAAATCTGGGAATCGCCACGCCATACTTGCTGGCAACACTAGAGGGCACAGGGCAGAGGGAGAAAAGCCAGGGCTTGCAGAGATGAGCAGTCCCGGGGCCATCCTGGCCTCCTCGTCCCTTACATCCACCATCTCCACTGGAGAAGGCACAGAGACTGGCCGTGCAGAGAGCGCATCAGGGTCACCCATCACCTGTGCTAGAGAGACAGGTTGGACCATGGCACAGCTCCTCGTGGTATGCCTGTTGCCAGCTGCCAAGGCCTCCTGCTGATGAATATGCTGCTGCACACTTTGATTTTCATCTGTCCAGCTTCAGATCATCTTCTTGATGTCTCCCCTATGACTGGGGGAGAGCAGCACGGACCGGAGAGGTGCATGAGGAGGAAGAGACCAGACACGTTCTTCCCTTTGGGTCTCCAGGCTGTAAAGCTTTATGCGTGCCAGCTCCTATCCCAGACACCACCGTAGAGCCACCCCTCTCAGCGTGCCATGCCTGCCAAAGTGCTCTCTGCTGACATGGTCTCTGTCTGGCCCCTTGGGCCACTGCAGATGGCAGCTGCCACGTCGCTGCGCTCTCCCAGCCTGCCAGGGTCGTTCCCTTCCCATCTGTTCTGGGCAAGGCCATCCCAGAGAGCAGGAACCACAGCTTTTCTCCTCTCAGGACTAATTGACCAGTTGAGCCCATCAGGAATACTAAAACCCGGTCATCCTCTTCCCCTTCCCCAGGTCCGCATCCAGAGCTCGTTGCAAAGGAGTACAAATCCAGCTCAGGTGCCACCTTTTTCTTCTCTTAAGTGGAGTATCTACAACATCAGGCCAAGAGAAGTACATCTCTCTGCCCAGTTTAGTTAACATCTTCCCCTGGGATAGTCATGGGAACATCCGGGAGACTGAATTTTGTCTTGTTCAAATTTATTCTGTGTCTCTTCCTTCTTAAAAAAAACCAAACAACGCTACAATATTCTCCCATCACACACTTGTAGATGTGCAGTGTAGGTATCCTGGTCACCCAGAGCCGACAGCTCCACCACCACCTGCAGACATGGGGGATGTTACTGATCCTCTCTAACTCGATGCATACAGACAAGATCTACCAAACAACCTTGCAGGAAACTTTTTTACGCTTGTAAAAAAGCATCTCTCTGTGAAGCAAGGGCTTCATACAGGCTGACACGACACTGTGGGACAAACTACACCAACCCTCCAGGCCCCACCAGCCTGGAGGAGCACTTGTCCCACCATTTGCCCTTGTTCTGCCACCCCAACCCCACTTACCCAGGTGCGTAGGAGGCCTTGGGCTCTGATTTGATTGGAGGGACCACGTTGTTTAGGCAGTGGCCACCAAGGTAGCCCTTGGGCACCACCATGCCATTGTTGTTATTGCAGTTGAGGTGAGCACCGTAGCCGGGTCCACAGGGGTTGGCCAGAAGAGGACCATGTCGGATTGGGATCTGGCTGCCGGGGGGAGGAAGGTGGAGGGAACCGCTGGAAGTGGGGTTGGTCACATTGGCGATGGAGCTGGCAAGAGGCGCGTTGATGGTGGTTGAGCTGGAGGGCTGGGGGTGTGCATAGCTGGCGGAAGCAGGGATGTCAGGGAAACAGCTGAGAGAGAGAAGGGGACAACCTCAGCAGAGGGACAGGTAGACGGTACTTTCTGCCCGCCCCTCCCCTCCCCAGCCATGCAGCGATGGGGACGGAGCCACTCAGGTGCTCTGGGACACCCAGAAAATCGCAAAACAGGCAGCATTGTGGTGGCACCAGCAGGAGCGTACAGGGAGGCAGGTCAGTCACCTGGGTTGGTGGGACTGATGCAACCCCAAGGGCGCAAATTCCACCTGTGGAGCTGCGAAGGCCAGAAGCGCCCAGGACTCCAACCTCAAAGCTTGTGAAGACAGCAGGATCTGCTCACCGTGCTTCAGCTTCCAGGCTAGCCCAGGGAAGCCGCTTGGTCACGTCAGCCCCAAAGATCCCGCTCCCACCCTGCCGCCCAGACCACCCTGGCTGCTGTCCAGGTCTGCTCCCCCCCTCTTTGCCAGTGTCGGCGCACACAGGGAGACCCTTCCCTTCTCCACGCTCGTGTCGCGCCGGGGATTTAAGCTTTCACACTGAGCTTCTAGCGCTTGCTTTCCCATCGCTCGAATTAAGGAAAAGTCCTCTGCGGTGGCCTCAGGAGGGGAAAGAGAGGGGACAGAAGAGACTGGGGAAATTCAAAGGCAAGAAGGCGGGAAGAGACAGGAGGAAGAACTTCAAATGAATAAGGGAGCAAAGAGCAATAAAGGAGGACTCTAGGAGGGACAGAGGCGCAGCCAGGGTGCACAGTGATTTCTAAACGATTCCTCGAATTGCAGGGCTGGAAATTGCTCAACATGTCTCCACAGAAAACAACAGTGAACACTGTTCCTGCTGCGGAGCAAGGGAAGCACTTACATATCTGGTGAGTCCTCCTTGCTGATGTACTCTTCCAGGATGCTAGTGTCGATGTTAGATGGTTCCAGAGCTCCATTAATGTCGTGGCCTGCGAGTGGAGAGGAGGTGGAAGCATGAGCCATGAGAAGGACACGAAAGGCCCGTGTTTCGCAGGTCAGAAACACCACCAGACCTTTACGGAGTCAAGAAACTGATCTGAGAAGGTCAGCAGATCCTTCAGTTTGAGGACTGCCATCTGTCCATACCCATCTGCATCCCAGTGTAAAAGCAGACAGAGATGGGGCGCGTGGGACAAGCCAGGGCGGTGACGCCACCGGGGAAGTCGGACACACCGGTGGGGTTTGTCTACAGCAATTTGCAAGCTACGCTCTGGCCGTGGGACACAAGGGCTTCCCGCGGCCAGGCTCAGGACACACGGGAGAAGGGAGAACACGGGGTCAGGGCCTGAGCTACGCAAGACACATGGCTCCACAGAGCACGAGAGCTTTGTCTTGCCCAACCACCACCACCACCACCACCAACTTGGCGCTGACGCGGCCTGCAACAGCTTTGTCAGCAAAGCTGCAAGAGCCGCTGGCCTCGCCGGGGCTGCTGGAGGGGCTCCCCTTTGCAGGCCGCGGGAGAGAGCAGTCCCCGCAGAGGCAGGGCGGTACGCGTGGGCTTCAGGGGGTGCTCTGGGAAAGTTGGTTGCCTTCCCTTTGAACCCTCGCCTCCGCTTTGCAGAACGCGCTGGAATTTCTCCGCTGCTGCCATGACAGCTCTGGATCAGCTCCCGACCCCGCAGGAGCCCTCCTCCCTCTGCTCTCCTGCACGGGCAAGCGGTGGACTTCCCTCTCCTTTCTCCCGGAGGGCTCCTCCTCCCCTCTCCTGTTCTGGGGAAGCTGGGCCGGGTTTTGTTGACAGAAAGTGCTTTCTTTATCTGTCTCTCTGAAGTGGGAGTCTGCAGCCCTCTGGGGTCGGTGCCAGCCCTCGGTGCCAAAGACACTGCCAAGAAAGTGGAAGAGAAGGCCCAGCTCCCCCCACCTCCCCGAGCTCAGATAACGAAGACGGCCCTTCCTGAAAGACCCCGCGGCTCCACGTTAAAGCGCGTCGTCCCTTGCCCAGGAGAAGACCCTGACCCCTGCCTCCCCCCGCAGACCATGCGCTGGGGAAAGGTCAGCCGTTGAACCGCAAAACCCAGAGCGGGGGGTTTCGGCCCACCCCCGGCCAATTGCAGCTCTCCCCTCTGCAAATCCCTTTCATACCAAGACAAGCAAATCGGCAGAAATAAATCCAGCTAGGAATTCTGCCAAACGGACAGGGTGTGTGCGCGGACGGAGGGATCTCTCCCTTAGTAACCCTGGCTAGAGGGGAAAAACCTGGGTAGCCGTTCACTTGCGAGACACCTAACCCTTTGTGCGCCACGCGCCTCCGCGGCAGAGCCCGGGGACTTGGGGGAGAAGGTGGTGAAGTTCTCCCATGAGAACTCTTGCTACGAAAAGATGCGTCTGGAGCAGGGACAGGCGATGCTGCTGCCAGGCTAGCATCGTGGCGAGAAGAGGACAGGGCAGGCAGAGCCCATGAGGTCCCGAGCTGTGCCAGCACCTCGTTTATATAGTTGCAGACCCCAGGTCAGCACGGCGGTACTCCTTCGTGACAGCCACGTCCTCTCCTGAAGTTGCAGTGACGTGGTAGCAACCATGCCGTTGTCCTGCTTTGAGTTCCAGTTGACTGGAAGAGCTCACGGATGGCCAGCACCGTGGGTGCTCGCGTCCCTCGCTCATCCCCGAGGACCTCTGCTATAGCCTGCTCCCGACACTTCACCACGCCTGGCTCTACCGAGGCACCTCTTCTACGAGCAGCCGCTCCTCGGCCACTGTGACCCCTTAACATCGGCTAAAACCCTTCTGGCCAGGGGGTGAGCGCTCCCCGCTCTCCGCTGCCTCGCTCTTGGCCAAAGAGTCTGCGCTATGAATCACACGATGTGCTTGGCAAACATCCACCACAAAAGCTAGCAGAAAACTTGCCTTCATCCCAAGTCCCAGGGTTGGGACCCAGGTTCAAAGAAGCAAAAAAGGCACTTTACCAGTTTTTCTGCCTTTCCACAAGCTACTGAGTCTGTCCAAGAGAAGTTCTCAAGATGACTGACCCCAGTGGGTTTCCCTCACACCTCCAAATTCCAGGAGCTTCTCCACAGTGGAAGAGGAGCCCAGGACCTACCCAGAAAGGACAGGAGGCTTTCAACAGACAGCAGTGCTGCTGGGCTTTCCTATTTCTTTGCTACCTTGTCTTAAAAGTCACCTTCAGGAGCCCTCAGCTGAGACCCAGGCGAAGGGTGAGACAAGCACCGTGACGTGAGAGGTGCGTCAGCTGCGCCGCTGCGGAGCTGTTAGAGATGTGATAACAGCCGTGGCGGGGTCCGGCTGCGCGTGTGCGATGGGAAGGGGCTGGCCCGCTAAAAAGAAAGGATTTTCCTCAGCTTGGGGACAAAGGCGCTTCCACCAGCTACGACGAAACAGGGATGTCAGGGCGGTGGGTCTCGCTGGCAAAGCTGCACAAGGAACATCCCACCGCCCGTAGCTTCCACGCAGGCCAGGCTCTTACCAAAAGCCAGCTTAGGTGATTAATTAAAAGCTCATACTTCTCCATAGAGTCACGAGCTCCTAACAACACTAACAACGCTCCTTCCCCCTCCGAAGCGGGGATTAGGAAGAAGCAGGAAGCCACCGAGGAAGGACCCCGGGAAGCTCGACATCCACATGGCTCTGCACGAGACAGACTCCCACATCTCCTCGTCCCAGCAAGAGAGAGACGGAGGAGCCCAGGGAAGCTCTGAGTTTCCCCACGCTGTCGGCATTTGCCCTCTCACTGTGGGAACAGCAGCAATCCCCACGTAGCACCTCCTGTCTAGAGCCCTGTCCCTGCGCCAGCGTCTGCTCCAAAGAGTGTGTGAGAGCTCTTGTCACCTGTAACCCCTTTGGTGTCCCCGAAGCTCAGCAGGATGAATTCTGCCTTCCATCCCGGAGCAGCAAGCTGGGAGAGGTGCCGCAGGCACCCACAGAGCTGCCCAAAGAGGTCTTGCAAACCAGCTTCTTCGTGCTCTCTGCACACAGTGAACATCCCGGGGCAGGAGGGTACCAGGACCAAGTAATTCAGCCACTTTTAACACTCTGACCTCCTGTACAGACACGGAGACTCCTCAGGCCAAAGTCTTCCGGGACAACCTTCTATTTCACAACTCCTTCAGCTGGTGCCGCTACAAAGAAACTCCCAAACCTGCCAGGTCCCTATGTCCTGTCCTCCCCTCCTCTTGGCCCCCGCATTGCCACCCCGCTCTCACACCACGTCACCCCTCCGTCTGCTCCGCTTTCTAACCCCTCCTCTTGCAAAAGGGTTGAGGAGATCCCCCAAAAAGTAAACTTTGCCTGAAGAACAAGATGTTAAACCCGCAGCACCCTCCTCGCGAGCAGAGCCGGGCGAGCAGAGGCCCCCGTACGTGTGAGAATGTCAGGAATCCCAATGTTTGGACTGGTTTTCTCTGCCTTCCCCAAACCTCCAAACACGATCGACATCCAAACGGAGGTGTTTCCCACACCGCCGTCTCCTCCCTGCCCCTGCTCCGACAGCGCGGGTCTGCCAGCTCGCCCCTCCTGGCGACATCCTCTCGGCTCAAGAACTTGCTCCCCGTCCCATTTTCGGGTGCTCCGCCGCATCCCGCTTCCCATCAGAGACGGGCAACGCGGCCACGGGGCTCTGAAAGAGTTAACGGCGTCTGGCCCCCGTGAGTCGTCATATTTACAGGTCTGAGAGATTAAAACCAGAATTTACCTCGAGTGATAGGCTGATAAGTTTATGGTATTTCTATTTATAACAGTCCCTCCCCCACCTATTCTTGCTCTGTTGCCTGTCTTCTAATCACCCATAATCCTGCCTGGGTCACCTGGGGGTGGGAGGAAGGGAGAGAGCTGAAGAACTTCGTCCTGGGATCTGCTAATGGGAACCAGATGTGGGAACCTGGAGATGACAATGAGGTCAACCCGTTTTCAGGGGCTGGGGAACATCAGCGAAGAGTGGGGGGACACCAATGACGAGGAGGAAGAGAAGAGGCTGTGCCAGGCCCAGAGCCTCCCCGTGGCACTGAAGCCACGTACCGGAGGGTGGATTTTTATTCTGGGTTTCAGGGACCCGCTTGGGGGTTTGCAGGTTTGAATTACAAATGAAGCACCGTGCTCTGAGCCGAGCGCTGTGAAAGCCAGCGAGAAGAGGACTGCAACGAAGACCAACGAAAAGCCATAGACCCTGGTAAGCCTGCCTGCCGCATGTTTCCATGTCCCGCCACCTCAGCCCTAGCCTGGTTCCCAAAAGAGACAGGCGCAAGCGACGGCCTCCACCACGGCCTGGCCTGAAAGTCCACCTATTTCTCCAAAACGGAGCGGGGCCAGCCTCCACCGGCTGCCCCGCGTTCACTTCAGGCAGGACGAGGAGCAGCTCCAGCAGTCCCAGCGTGGCCGGGACGGAGGCAAGCGTCTGCGGTCCCGGGGCTTTGGAGGAGCACTGCTGTGCTGCCTTTGAATCGAGCGCCGCGCCGGGCAGTGCCCGGCGTGCAGCACAGCCAGGAGAGGGAGCAGCCTGCAGGAGACGGTGGCACCGGCCCTTCGCTTTGAAGTCCTTGACCTACAGACGGGCCAGGTCCATTATCCCGCTGCGCGCAAACCTTCACCTGAAACCTGGTGCAAAGGGCACGCGGCTCGCTCCCGTCCATAGCGGGCCGGGGAGCCGTCAGATACAGCACAGCGGAGAGAGGAGGCTCGTGGACACGGTGCTGGTGGTACAGCGCAGGCGGCTGGAGCGTGCCGGAGAGCCCATAGCTTTTGGTACGGTCCTTCAGCCGGTCGCTGCAACCGGCAAAGCGCATCCACCTGCCCAATCTCATGGGGAAACTGAGGCACGGAGAACCCTGGTGACAGAATTACTGCTGAACAGGGAGGCAATAACAAAATATCCAGCGGGGGCACGGTGGAACAGGCCCAGGAGACCCCAGGAGACTCCTGGCTGACGGAGCAGGACGGCAAGGTGCAGCGTTCCCTCTCCCAGCGGCTCTCCAGCACGCACTGGAGCGGGTGCCGAGCGTTGGTGGGATACATAGCCGAGCAGGACAAATGCAGCCAGCCTCAGCAAATGCTGCCGGGCATGAAGGCCCACCAGCCACTACCTGGCACAGCACAGCATTACCTGCGAAGCCCGGCAGCGGCACGCCACGCCGGGGCGGCCGGTGCCGCAGCGAGGTGCAGAGCCCCGGCGCAGCCCTGAGCACGTTCCCGCGGCCGTGCTCGAGGGGTTGTGCAATCGGCAGGCCAGGCTGCCGCATCGGCACATTCCCGGGGCCTCATGCTGCTCAGCACCCCCTTCTGCTTCCTCCCCTGTTTATCCTTTGGCGCTGGCGGATTGGCTGCCGGCCTGGCCGAGAGCACGAGGAATCCGTGCCATGGCTGGCTAACCAAACAGCACCTAAGCCCAGGGAGCTGCGGGGCCGGCGCTCGGCTTCAGACCCACTTCCCCATCAGCAGGAGCCCGGCTGGCTCTGCCACACGGGGCGAAGCCCGAAGAGCAACCAGCGTGAGAGCCCTGCTCCGCTCCGGTTGGGGATGGCGTCCTTCCCATGCCTGCCCTGCCTGGAGTGGGACGTGGCGAGGGGCCACAACAAAATCCTGTCCCTGCCCAGAGACCTGGGCTACGCATCTGCCAGCCGGGGAGAGCCAGCCGCGGGGACAGAGCTCCTCGCGGAAGGGACAGCGGGACTATGTCCCCACCGCTCCACGTGCCCAACCCTGGGCTGCCCAGAGGGTACGGAGGGGTAGACGCATCCCCTGCGGCAGGAGGGACCCCGACCCCGCAGCTCCTGCCTCCCCCCAGATATCAGCCCAGCATTCCTCCTTAATTAATGCTCTTTATTACCTGACTGTAACGATAACCAGTCACTCCCAGCAGCAGTGGCTCCTGTAACCCGAAGTGGGACGCCACGCCAGCCCACTCCCCCATCTCCCCCAAAGCGCTCTCGGGACCACCCCAGAGCGAAGGCCCGGCTGTCCGAGGCACTGACCGGGGGCTCCCAGGCCCCCTCCCTGAACCGCAGCACGGTTCCTCCATGGGGTGAGCCCCTCCTCACGCCAACCCCTCTATCGTCTTCCTTCGGCCCCTCCAGGACAGCCTGCTGGGGTCTGCACGGGCTGCCAGCGGGGGAAACTTTTACGTGGTGTCAATGAATGCGTCTGCTTGACTTCAGGGGCCTTCACTTGATCTGACGCTGATGGAGCTACGCTGAGCTACACCAGCTGGTTACTCACTCCTAAATACTATCCTTGAGCAGTTTCAGTCGCGTTAGGACACCCTTCTCCCGCACACGTGAAAACACAGCACGTGCCCCTTCCCATCACAAAAGGTAGGACCGTCCTGGTGAATGCAGAGGTACAGCCACCACCCCGTGTCCCATCCTGGGGACATTCCCTTGTCAGCCCATCACCCAGGACAGCCCTACCCCTCCAAAGCGATGGGGCAGCTCGTGCATCCCCCTTTCACGCCAGAGCAGAAAACCCAAGATCCAAAGTCACACCAGAAACACAGCCAAGGCTGAGCTCTGGGAGTCTGTGGGACAAGATCCTGGCGAAAACACCAAGCTCGGGGCTAAGGAGATGGGGGGTTCGTGAGAATTTGGGCATTACCCAGAACGTGTGGGCTCCAGGGAGCCTAATTTGTGTGTCGCGTATTTGAAATGAAGTAATGGTCGGAGCAACTGAGAGGGGCTTTGAACGTACACGCTCACACACCTTCCCCCCGCGGCTCCTCCATGGAGAGGCCAAGACTGTACCCAGCCCGCCTGTACCTGACCCCCTCCTCCCTGGCAGCTCTCTTTCACGCTCGGTGAGCTCCCAGGCAGCACCCCCGCTCCCACGTCTAATCCTCTCACTCCTGAGAGGAGAAACTATCGTGTTCCCATGCCGGCCAGGGTGGGATGCAGAGAACGTAGTGCATCAGAAGGAAGGGAGATACGGGACAGGTGGGATTTAGCCAAGACCCCAGATTCACCGTAGCGGGTAAAAAGCGTTACAGGGTCTCCAGTGGCCAGGAAGACCCTGGAGCAACAACCTGGCTAAACTGTGAACCAGCACCAGTGGCAAAACAGTCAGAGTAACGGACCGCATCGGTAAGAGGTACAAGCAAACCATCGCCAGCCTGCAGCCCAGCGTCCAGAGTCAGTAGCGCCATACACACCAGCATCTCCGTGTCCCCTGGAAAGCTCCCTTCTGCTCTCACACAGGCCCACAGCTCCTTAGCTTACATGCACGGAAGAATATACCTGACAAAAGCGCCGTTGGATAAGCTGGAAAGCGTCCCTAACACATTTAACGTGTCCTGGCTCAGGCCCACAGCAACCCCCCGCTCCTGTACCTGCTGTGCAGCGTGGCTATTCCTGACATACCAGCAGGAGGGGGATACGAGCCAGTATATACGCCCTGTATAGGTGCACAGAGAGAGAGATAATGCCCTCTCTCCATCTCCCGGGCCTTGGGGAGGACAAGGTGAGTGGTGAGAGACATCCCGAGGCAGAATAGGCGTGAGGAGCCAGAGGAAATCATCCAGCTGCGCCACAGCAAGGGCATGGGCATGTCCCCCAGGGAGCCCTGCGGGAAAAGGCGGGCAGCTCCACACAGAAGAGATGACCGAGCCTCGTCCTCCCTCCCAAACCTTCCTGAGCCCTCCTCTTTCTTCTCCCTCCTTCCTACTGCCCTCTCTGGCCTCTCCGCCAGCCACCACTCGGCACCTTCACCTCTTCCAGCCCCTCTCGAATTTCCCCATCTCCCCGCGTCCCTTCCCTCCCAGAGCCGTTATCCCTCCGGACCCTCCCGAGTCCCTTCTCCTTCCGGCTCTCCACCCTTGTCCTGGCCTCTCCTCCGCCCTTGCCAGCTGTGAACCTTGGCATGGATAGAGCCATTGTCCTCCGGGCATCGGGGCCGAGGAGGAGGAGGGGAAGGTGTGAGAGGGGACACAGTGGAGCATTTGTGTGTGTCCCCACAGCCGTCAATGCCCTGCTTGTCCATTCATGCACTAAGATGGCAGGAACAGCAGCACCCACACAAGCGTCGCCATTTGGCGGGGTCCAAGGTGCCCGCCCAGGGGGGCACATTGCCCTGTTTGTTTGGAGTCCCGCAGAGGCAGAAGACAACGCCTTTATCTCCCTCTCTGGACCGAGGGCCTTGGAGGGCTGGCAGGGGGGGGACAACAGGACCAGAGAAGGCCACTTCATCTGGCGTTTCCCGAGCTCGGGACCGACAGGGATGTACGGCTGCACGATGCTGACTCTGCCAGCCTCGCACCTCCATTCCCCAGCCCAGGAGGAAGAGAGGCTTTTCCAGCGCAGCCTCCGGATCCCTTCTGCTGAGGCTCCTTCGTGCCGCTGGGCTCGCCTGACCCAAGGCAGAGCAGCAGCACGCGCCCCAGCTCCTCCAGCCGTGCCCGGAGCGGGATCACGGCACACCGGCCACGTGGCCGCCCCGCTTCACCAGGCTTTAGCGGGCTGCAGTTAAAGGACTGGACAGTAAGAAAGGAGACGTAAGCCAAAGCTTCCGCTCTTGTGTGCTCCTCTCTGCAGCCCACTAACTTTACCTAGATTGCAAGTTTTGGGGGACAGGAGTGACCTTTTTCTATAGGGTAACACCTATGGGCATGAGCTCCCTGGCACCGTCGTGGCAGCGAAGATCCAGCACAGCTCTTTTCGCTATCAGCATAAACTTTCTTCAGTGTGAATTATTACCAGAGCATATCGGCAATACAAGAAAAAAAATATATATATATTTATTGCCAGCTACATACCGGCTTTAAGAAGAGACTATGACCCAGCTGCCCAGAGCCTTGCCATTCTCGGCAGTGACCGGGAGAGGCAATAAAGACTCAGAGAGGCACGGGGACTTGACAAGGCTGACGGCAGATGGCCGAGCAATGTCACTGCTGCTCTGCTACTGCCAGGGAGGGAGCCCAGGGACACAGTCCCTGGACACCGACGCTGCAGGGCCACCAACACTTTTTTTAGGCTCTTAGGAAACTCGGAGATCCAGGAGCCACTCCGGACGCCTCTTTCGGCCCAATTCTGAAGACGTGCACACCACACACATGGGGGACTCGGGACTTGGAGCCGCGCTGCCTCTCCTGGAAACCCCCCAGCACAAAACAATCCTTAGGCAGGAAGATTAATAATCAAACGGCAACAGAATACAAACCTACAGGCAGCCAAGCATCGCCTGGAACACCACGTCCAGATCGGGCATCTCGTTCCTCCCTTCTAACTGGGAGGCAACAAGGTCTCTCCTGTCCACTTTGGACAGCCTCCAGAGGAGACTGAGCGTAAGAAGGCAGAGCGATTTATCTAGATGGGGCTTTTGCCAGGGCTTGGGGAGGGCCATCACTACTTTTGTGCAACCAACACCGAACTTTCACAAGCAGGAGTGTCAGGTCATCAGGCTCTTCCTTCTCCTCACACAGCTGGGACGTGCAACCATCCAGCACTTGCTCTCAGCGCTATGCTGCAATGGCATTTGCTCCAGAATTGACTCCTGCGAAAATCACAACGGGCACCAAAAGCTTCTTACATCGTTGGGTTCCCTCTACCATCGCTGCAGTAAACCCTCATCTACCTCTGCTACACACGTGGCACAAACCTCCCGAGACCCAGGACCACTTCCCAGCATCTAAGAGCAGAGCAACGCGACCAAGAGAAGTGGACCAGTCAGGCACACAGGTACAGGGCAGTCATTTCTTTCCCCAAGGAGGAAACAAGGAGGAGATTCAACGCATCCTGCTTCAGCGCCCTGAGTCTTACTCGGCAGCTGTGGGGCATAAACGGTGTGTTTGCAGGCACTCCCGCAGCCGGCGCACGCTGGGCTAGACAGCAGCGATGGGGTTGTGCAAACGATCCAGCGAGAACCCTCCTGCTCTGCCGCTTGGCTTCGGCCCAGGGTTGATTCATGAGCTGATGTGCCCTGCTTGGGAGTTCTTGCCCTCCTTGTGCTCCTGAGAGAGGGATGGACCAAAGGACACAGTGGACACCATTCCCCTCTGATTTCATCCATCTCAAGACAATACCAACCATTATATCCCTGAGTCACGCAGACCACAGAATTTTACTCAAAGCGTCCCCCGCCAAGCCCACAGTTTCTCACCGTAGAGGACACATCCTTCGGACAGATGCAGTTCTGAATTAGGCTTCAGCTGATTAATTCACCTCCCGAGGAAGGGGCCACGCTAATCCATTTCCACCCTTCAGTTCCTCATCTTCGTTTGCACGACGTACCTCCATACCCTTAACTACCAGGCTAA